GAGGCGGTCTCGGCGGCCTTCGACCTCGACCGGCTCCGCGAACCGCTCTCCGAGGCTGAGGACGTTTTGCAGGTCGCCTCGCCCGCCTGGATCAGGTGGGTCCAGCTTTGGCGCCAGCAAGTACGCTGGGCGCTGATCGCAAGCGGGATTCGGCGATGGTGGGGGCGCTTTCTTCTCGTCCCGAATCTGAGTCGAGGAGGTGCTTCAAATGTCGGCCACAGCAGGTTTTCGATCACAAGTGGGATTCGGAGACACATGCCGCTTCCATCGCCACGGCAGGTCTTTCGTTTATTCGAAGTTGGGCGACCGCTCAGCGCGGCCACGTGCAAGGGGAGAGGCTTCACATGGATATCGCTTCTGGTCCGGTCGTCCCGGAAAGGAGTTGGCCTGATCGTCGTATCGCGCCGTGTCGAGTTGCGCTGCAGAGGGGGTTGGGTGGGGCGCACGAGGCCGAATGGATGTGAATGTGTTTGAGCTCTCGCATGTTTCCCCGATGTTTCTTCTACCCCACCCAAACAGCGCTGTCGCGATCGAAACTAGGACGGGATTTCGCCTCGATGATTCCCGCCCTAGTGCGTGAGTGGTACCTGTGGCACTCACCCATTATAGTTGTTGCCAATGCTTGCTGGGGCGGAGAAGCCGCAGCCATCACCGCGTCAGGTCTTTGGTACACTTGATGTTGGGCGACCGCTCAGCGCGGTCTCGTGCAAGCGTGCATTTACGGGGGATGTTTCAGATGGATATCGCATCTGGCCGTTCCGGAAAGAGAGTTGGATGGATCGTCGCATCATGTCATGTCGAGTTATGCTGCAGAGAGGGCGGGAGGGCGTACAAGGCCCCCTTGCTCATATGTCGGGACATTCTATATACATAATTACAGGTATGTTTGTATGTGCGTGGGTGTGTACGTATGTATGTATGTATATATATATATATATATATATATATATATTTATGTGTGGCAGAATAAATGAATGTCTGCATGTATGGTTGTATGTATGTGTGCATTGATGCATTTGTAGTTGTATATATGTGTGTATGTATGTACGCAGAACTATATGTATATTTGTGAGTACGTATGACTGTGTTTATTTGGATGTGTGTACATGTGTTGTATGTATGATTGAATGATTGTACGTATGTATGACTGCGTGCGTGGATGCACGCATGTCTACGCAAACATGTGTGTATGTGTGTATTTACATGTACGTGTGCATATAGTTCTGTGTATACGTATGTATGCATGCTCGCGTGCATATATGTATACATGATACGCATGTGCATATCTCTATTTCGTGTGTCCAGGTATGTTTGTATGCATGCACGCATGTATGTACGCGCGTACGTACGTATGTGTGTAGGTATGCGTGCGTGCGTGTGTGCATGTGTGTCTGCATGTATGTATGTATGTACGTATGTGCGTATGCATGCATATGTATACATGTATGTATGCATGCATACATTGATGGGATAATGTGTATATATATGTATATATGTATATATATATGTTTATAGACATGTGTGCATAGTTCATTCATGTGGGTATCAATATGTATATGAGTATGTACGTTTGTTTGTATGTCTGTATGTATGTATGGATGAGTGTATGTAGGAGCGTAGGTATGTGTGTATGGATTTGTGTACACGCATGCATGCATGCATGCATGCATGCATGCATGCATGCATGCATGCATATACACATGTATGCATGCATGTATGTCTGAAAGTATGCATGTACGTGTGTATAAGTGCTGATACGTATGTATGTATATATATATATATGCACATGCACATATACATGTATATATAGCTATATATATATGTATGTATATATGCATGTATGCATGTATCTTTGTGTGTAGACGCATGTAAAAATGCATGCACGCATATGTATATCGATGCATGCACACACACATATATATATATATATATATATATATATATATATATACACACCGGGGAACGGGACCTGGGGCTGCCAGATTGGTGCCTCGGACCCCCATGGAGGCCACGGGGCTCACTTTCCCTGTGTTTTTTCAGGGTTTCGGCGTTCCAGGGCCTCCGAGGGAGGCCGCCAGGAGTGGACCTGCGCCCCCTGGGGGCTCTGGGGCTCACTTTCCATGGGTTTTTAGAAGGTTTCCGCGTCCTGGGCCTCGGAGGCCGCCGCCTCCGACCCCCCGTGGAAGGACGGGGCGGCCGGGGAAATCCAAAATAGTCCAGGAGGGCCTCCAGAGGCTCCCAAGACGGCCCAAGCGGGCCCCGAGTCGCCGAAAGACCGCTCCAGGACGCCCAAGATAAGCCAAACGGCCCAAGAGGCCCCCCAAGGCACTCCACGACGCTTCAAGACGCCTCTCCAGAGTGCTTCAAGAGACCGAAATCGTCATTTTTATGAAGGTTTTCGAACGATTTTGGCCTTCCAGCCTTTTCGGCCGTCCGACGTCCAAGACGGCTCAATAGGCCCCCAAGAGCGCCCCAAGACGGCCCAAGAGGGCCCCAAGACGGCCCCAGAGTCACCCAAGACAGCCCAACAGAGCCCCAAGACGGCCCCAAGATGCGCCCAAGAGGGGGACCGGGGGACCACGACTCCAAAATTCGACCCTCCCGCTTGAAGAGTGCCCCAGGAGGCCCCAAGGAGCCCCCAAGAGGCCCCAGGAGGCCCTCAAGAGGCACCCAGGAGGCCCAAACGAGGCCTAAAGAGGCCACAAAACAGCCCCGAGGAGGCCCCACAACGGTCCCAAAACGGCTTCCGAGAAGCTGTGAAATTGCCTTCACGACGTCCTTGACAGGCCAACCACGAGATCCAAACCAACACCCATGAGGCCTCTGACCCACCACCCAGGGCACGGCGGCGGGAGCAGTGACAGCACTTGTGCACAGCATGTTCCGGCGGGAGCTTTCCGGAACACGCTGCAGGAGGAGGAGGAGGAAGATCAGGAGGAGAGAGAGCTGGAGTGGGAGGAGGAGGAGGAGGAGGAGGAGGAGGGGGACGAGGAAGAGGAAGAGGCCTCCAAGACAGCTCCAAGATAGCCGAAGAGTCTTCCAAGAGGGCCCTGGGCGGCCCACGAGGGCCCCAAGGCGGTGCCTGAGGCGCCCAAGACGGCCCGAGAGGGCCCTAAAACGGCCCCAAGAGAGGCCCATGAAGGGAAACACGAACTGAGAATCCGAGCTTCCTACCCCGAGAGGTTCTCGGGAAGTCCCAAGAGGCCCCCAATCGGATCAAAGAGGCCCCCAAGAAGCTCCCAAGAGGGCCGACGAGGTTGCAAGAGATCTCCCAAGGTGGCCCCACGAGGCACAACTCATTGTTTTACGATTGGGCTTTGATGGGTTTTAATTTTTGTCGGCCTTTTGGCATCCCAATGCTCCAAGACGGCTCAAGAGGCTTCCAATACCGATCCAATATATAGAGGAAGAGGCCTCCAAGAGGGCCCCAAGACGGCCCGCGAGGGCCCCAAGACGGTGCTTGAGGCGCCCAAGACGGCCCGAGAGGGCCCCAATAGCCCAAAGAGAGGCCCAAGAAGGGGAACGCGACCCAGCAGCAGAGCGTTCTCCCCAAAAGGCCCACAGGAGGCCGCAAGAGGCCCCCAAGTGGTCCGACGATCCGACGAGGACCCCAAAAGCTTCCCGAGGGCCCAAAAGGCCCGTAGGAGACGTCCAAGAGGCCTTAAAACAGCCCAAGAGTGCCCTCGATGCGTGAAAACTGCTTCCAGGAGGCCCCCGGGAGGCTTCCAGATTGCCTCAATGTGGCCGCAGGTGGCCTCAAGTCGGACCTCCACGCAGCCAAGACGGCCAATGACGGCTTCACATTGCAGAGCCGATGCCCCCAAGGGACCCTCAGACGCCCCCCCAAGAGGCACCCAAGAGGTGCCTCCAACAGCCAGTTGACGAAGCATGCGGAACACCCCAGAAGCTCCTCATATGCCGTCGCGCGCCTGTGCTTGATAGCGTTGTCCAAGCTCGTCCAGCGCCCCCCCAGCCTGGGCTAGAACCTGAGCGCGCGCGAAGCGCGCGCGATGGTTCTAGTATATATATATATATATGTATACACATACATACATATATATATATATACACACATACTGGCGGCGTATCAGCGGTGATCGCCTCGTCGCCGTTCTGGTCTGTTGGCCTTGCCTGTTTTCGCCTCGGGGTCTGCGCCTCGCACGGCCCGCTGCCTCCCCGCGCGTTGCCCGCCCTCTTCTCATTTGGCTCGGCCTCCTTTGTGACGACCTCAGCTCGCTGGCGCGTCCTCTCGCTTCTCGGCCTCGCTGGCCGCTGTCTTTCGACTAGGGGGTCGTCTGCAGAATTGATTCAATCCAAGCTTGATTTCCCCGTCGAATCATACGTTTTATGTTTTGTATATCTACGAACTTTCTATTCATGTCTTATGTATTCGACGAACAAGTGAATTCAGGGGTAAATCAATGCTGTAGTCGATCCCCTACTCGAGTCTTGGAAACCGGGCTCTTTGCAGCCTCTGGCTGCCTTTCCTACCGCCGCGCTTGCCCCGGCTCGCGCGCTGGGCCCCCTCCCTCCACCCTCGCCCCTCCGCCCTTCTGCTCTCGCTTGCTGGTCCTTCCTGCCTGTCTGGCCCGCTGGCCGCTAGCTCTTCCCCCCGGGCCCAGACGTTCGCGGGCGCCGCCTCTGCCCGCCTAGCTTTTGCGTGGCGCCGCCCTTCCTCCGCCGCCAGCACGGCGCCTCTCCCCTTCCGCCTCGGCGCCCTGGCACTCTTTCGCGCTGCCTTGCCGATCCCTGCCCGCCTGGTTCTGGCGCGGCCCGCGCCCCCCTCTGCTGGTCGCCCAGCGCCTGCCCCGCTGCCCCGCCGCTCGCCGGCGACTCTCCGCTGCCTCCCCAGTGCTCCGGCGCGCCGCCCGGCCACTGCCCCGTGAGTGACCGGCCCGTCTCGCCTCTTCCTTCTCTTTCTCTGCACGGCTACTCGGCGCGCGCGCGCGCGCCCGCGCGAGCGTTCGACGGCGAGACTGTGCGTGCGTTGCTCCCCCCAGGAACGGGGAGCTCAGCGGGGACTCCGACGCCGGCCCGGACGCCGAGGAGCTCGTGGACCGAGGCCACGCCCTCGGCGTGCTCCGGCGCGACGGCATGGAGCTCCAGGGCATGCCCAAGGCCGCCCGGAGGGATCGCGAGCTCGTGGAAGAGGCTGTGAGGCTCCGGGGAACCGAAGTGCGGAGCCAGAGCTCGTGGGGTCGGAGGTTCGCCGCCCTCGCCAGTGCCAGTCGGCGGTGTGGCGCGATCCTGGAGCCCGCTGTTGCTCTTCTCCCGGACGCCGCCAGTGCATCGGCGATGCGGTGCGATCGTGGAGGATCCATTGATGAACTGATGTGTCCCAGAACTGATTGTCTCGTCGAAATCGATGAAAGATGTGTAGATTGCTCCGTAGATCGAGGGGCAATTATACGTTTCGAAGAGGAAATTAATTCTGGGGTACATCGATTCTGTTTTCGATCCCCTACTCGAATAGCGGAGGTGGGTCAGTCGATACCATTCCGCATCCTTCGAACATTCATTGCATTACGATGCGTGGGTCGGCCCCTTCAGTGACGGCGTGCTCGCATGGAAATCTTGTCGTGCATGCTCGGTGGCGGCCGTTCTCTGGTCATTCTGCCAGAGTGTCGATATACTGCAACATGTAACCGCTGAAGGTCTTTAGTTTGGGTCCCCCCTTTTCTCTCGGCGGTGAATAGGACTGGTCCTGAAATCTCCTCCTGTTCCCCCTCCTACTCCTCCCTCCCTCCTCCTCCTGAGGCATCGTAGTAGTCGTTGTAGTCGTAGTCGAAGTCGTAGTCATAGCTGTCGCCGTCGACGTTGCGCGGCGGGTGCCGCGGAAAAAAATATTACCTCCTACTGGTGGGACCCCAGTCCTTCAATAAGGCCGCCGAACAAATAATCAGTTTCCCCCCGAAGGGGGGGTTCTAAAGACCTTTCAGGGCCGGATCCGCTTCGATAAACTGGCCAGGCTGGACCCCATCAGAGGCAACGAAAGGGGGGGGGATGGGCACAGGAGAGGATGCATCGACCCCTAATCGCCCATGGATCGCCGATGGGAGCCCGATGGCCCCAGCCTGCCCAGGAAGGTGCGGATGCTCTATCGGAGGCCTCTCGCCGATCTGTCGGCGACGTATCGCCGATTCCAGGTCGATGCATCCCCCCCTATGCCAGTCCTCCCCCTATCGTTGCCCCTCACCCCAAGACTTGGCATCGCTCGGACGTGTGTTTTTTTTCATTCGGCGATGACCATCGAGGAGCATCCTTGATCATTTGGCGAGAAAGCCACGCACGGAACCTACAAAAACACAGGGAATGGACGTCCGAGCGATGCACAGAAGAGGGGTCCTGGGGCCGCTTGTGGGAGCCGCCGTGGTCTCAGCCTCGTCCTCCTGCGACGACCTCCTTCCGCCGACGGGGCGCCCTCCGGAGGCAGAACGGCCTCGCCCTGCAGTTTGCCTCGCCCGAGCTGCAGCGGTGCCGCGTGCTGGCGGCCGAAGCCTGCCGCAGCCGCGGGGCGGTCCTCGCCTTCCTGTCGCCGGAGCTGCAGCGGGACCCAGAGGTCGTCTTGGAGGCGGTGCGGCAGGATCGGCGGAGGCAGCAGGGGTCGGTTGCATGCATTGCGAAGGCCTTCCGGTCGGTGCGCCGACCCTGAAGGCGGGACTTCCCCGCTGGCGACCATCCTCGGGACCCGCCGGGCCCCCGGGGCCCCCCCTTCCCCGCACCTCTTCCCCTTCCCCGCCCCCACAGTAGGGAAGGGACAAAGGGAAGTGGCTTCCTTTCGACATAGTGATTTTTTTTTTGTTTTGGCCGGCGTCCCCCCCCCCTCCCCCCCCCCTCCCCCCCCCTCCCCCCCCGCGGAGTAGATCGTGGCTGCTTTTTGGCGACTGTTTCCAGCGGGTGGAGTCTCCCCCATAGGTAGCACACTTGCAAGCAGTCGCACTAAGCAGAGGTCTGGAGCCAGACCCCCCCTTCCGCCCAAAGTCGAATCGCTGAATAAAGAAACGCTCACATAACTAGACTTTCCTGCTCCTTGTTCCTGCGTTTCATTTGTACTGACGACGACGACAGCGTCTTCCACACGTGCGAATGACATGCATTCGCCTGGAAGCCCCGCCGAACACATAGGCGATCGGTGCCCCTGGATACAGTTGGACCGAGGTATAAGATCGAGGTCGGTCTGGGGAGGGTACCCTAGTGTTCTTCGTGCTTGTTGGATGTTCTTGTGCATCCTGGGGAGTGTACCCTCGGATGCTCTGTGTGGTTTGGCCGACGGAGGGCCTCATGTTCTTGAGGGAGGTTCTTCTGGCCTAGGTCCGACTGTACGTGTAGTGTGCCCTGCCCCTGTTGCGGCCGCCGGCAGGACGGGCTCGCCCTGGCGCACGCCTCCGAGGCTGCCCGAAGAAGCAAGACTCGGGGAAACGTAAGACGCGAGTACGCTGGAACTCGGGTTCGCCTATGCTTGTTGACGAACTCTAGACCTAGATGAGGTCGGAGCAGATGGGTCGGAGGATCGCGCCGCATCGCCGATGCATCGCCGATGCATCGCCGATGTACGGGCGATGCAGCGCGATCTTCCGACCCCATCTACTCCGAGACCATCTAGGACGCCTCTACGAGCCCGCCCCTGAGTTTTGACGGTCCCGTTTCAGTGGGAGGTCTGCAGCGGGAGCCCGCGCCAATTTTTAGACTGCGTCGCGTCATTTTCATGATGGCCCCGTCAGGCCAACCCGAGTCCCCCTAACCCGAGCCTTACGTCTCCGCGAAGGATCCGCACAGGCACAGACCTTCGGAGCTCCGCGCGGGCTTCTTGGGCCAGCGCGGAACCTCCTTGCTGGCGGCGCCTCCGCCACCGCCTCTGGCGCGCGCTCCGGGCGCCGGGGCAGGGGGTGGCCTGGCGCCGAGTCAAGAGTCCTCGCGGGCCTCCGAAAGTATCGAAGACGCCTACGGCAAATCACCGACGCCCCCTGCCCTTCTGGAAGCGCCTATGTGGCCGACAGCTTGTCTGGAGCTTGGCCAAGCTATCGGGGCAGTTGTTCCCCGAGTCGGTTTGGAAAGCCTTCGGGGAACACGTGAGGGAGCAAGAGGAGGAGGCTTAGGAGAGGGAGGAGGAGGATGATTAGGAGGAGGATGAGGATGAGGAGGAGTAGGAGGAGGAGGAGGAGGAGGGGAGGAGGACAGGACAGGACAGGACAGGACAGGACAGGACAGGACAGGACAGGACATACGCAGAAGGGGGTTCAACGTCAAAACACCTACGCTGGTGCCTTGCGCGCTTCTGACAAAATCTCCTGCGATTGGTTGTGCAACGGCCCTGCCTTCTCACTAGGGCCGGCGGGGGGCATACCACGTTGACCAAGGAGTGAGCGCCGAGGTGGCCCCGTAAGAGAGGCTCGCGACCTTCCGATTACGAGTCCCTGCGGGTCAGTTCGGGGGGAGCAGTTGCTGGCCCTTCCACGTGCCCTAGGGGAGGGGACGCGCGGGCTTAGCAGTGCGCCCAAGCAAGGGGGTGGGAGACGACGACACGACAACTCCAAAAGGAGGAGGGGAGAGGGTCGGGAGGCCCGTGTTTCCAAACTGTTGCTGGGGGGGGGTGGTTACCATACTGGTTGTATTATGTTATCTTCTCTCCCGCTCGGCTCACTTCTCTTTCACCTCAATCTGGTCGATGGTTGCCCCATGCATTGTCGTATCTGTATTCTGATACCCTGTTGTAGTATCCCACTGCTCCCCCCGAAGTGTATGTGGGGTAGAGCATATTTGTCACGGTGTGTTGTAGGTGGGTTAATGGAGGAAACCTTCTGGTGGATTTCGTGCCGAACGTTTTCCCATTCAACACCCAGCAGCAATGTACCTGTCGGCACTCCAAAAATACTTCCCATTGCGATGACAGTGCGAGCACTCCGTGATTACCCATCCTGTTCGCCTGGAGTATCACTCCGTGAAACCTCGCTAATGCATCTCTTGGCTGGTTGCCTGTGGGCTCGCCCAGCTTGCCCCGGGTAGCATTCCGAGACATCCTCGCGAGTACATCTCTTGGCTTTGAGCTGGCCGTCGTCGTCTCCTCCGACTTGTGGTAGCCGAACTTTTCCTCGAAGATCTTGGTGCGATCCAGCAGGGTCTGCGTGCTGTCTCGTAGGTTCTGGCGCTCTTTGAGCCTCTTCACTTCCTCTGGGTCGATTTTGTTTTCATTACTCAGCACCTTCGAAGCGACCTTAATGACTTTGTGGAGGTTCTCTTCGTCGTTTTTCGAAGTCTTCAGCGCCAGCTCGCACCAGCTCTGTACAGTAAAGGCCTTCCTCCCTGCCGGGTCCCACGCGTCCACAGGGCACCTTGCGATGATATTGCATCCTTTGACCTTGTGAGTCATCGGGAAGGACACGGGGATCAGCTCGAAGAGCTTCTCTGGGCTCATTTTCTGGGTGGCGTCGTAGAACTGGTGGTGGCACTCCTTGGTGGCGTCGTCTAGCTGATGTGGCAGCCTTTCCGCTACAAGCGTTTATCATTCACTTCCCGCCTTGAGGTCCACCACTATTGACGGCCCATTGTTGTACGGGAGGAACTTCGACTTGCACCCGATGTTTGGCCACCCCTCGCAGTCATCGCCGAACGTGCCCGTCATCTTGTCCACCCGCTTTTTCATGAGCTCATCTTCGGGGTGGCTATCCTGCGCCTTGACGAGCTGTGACCTGTCCACTTTGCACCAGAACTGCCACTTGTCCCCTCTCGAGTAGGGGCTGGGGCCTCTCAACCACATCTTGTTCGGGAAGACAAGCCCGCACGAGCAGGCTCCGCCCCTCTTTGCGTCCCATCCTGTGCTCTTCTTGCATGCGTTGAACAACTGCGTATTGTTGCTCCACTTGTCCACGAAGTCCAGCGCCTTGAGGCTTGCCGATTTTTTTTCTCCCTTGTGTTTCGCGTTATTGTAGTCGCCCATCTCGTGCAGCTCTTTCCCTGTTTCCTCCAACTCTTTGCTTGCTTCCTACAGCGCATCTTCGTCAATGATGTCCGTGGCCATGTACTTGTTGAGCAGGATGTCGCATTCCTCTGAACAGCTTAGAGCCTCTGTCATGCTTTATCCTGCTTTCTAAAGGCTGCAAAGATGCTTCCATTTATTGTGATGCCCTCCAGCGACGCCTTTTGCCATGTCCTGGCTTCTCCAGGGCCAACTTGTTCCTTGCAGTGTGAAGCTTTTTCTTTGGGCCTTTTTCTTCCGCCAGGAGCGCTCGCGCTGCGTTGATCTGTCCCAAGGCATGGGCTGCCCACGTGGCTCCTATAGCTTTCCTTTTCTGTTCTCGGCAGACCTGCTCTCTCGAAATATACCTCTCTCCTCTTTGCAGCGTCTTCTCTTCGTCGTTCCATTCTTCCTACTCCTGCCTCAGCTCCAGCTCGCGGTCGATGCACGCTTTCTTCCACTGACTGCCTTTGCCTCTTTGGTCTGTTTCACGACCAGATTATTTATGGTGTGCTCCCTGTGGCTCTCGATCATCTTGTAGTACCCGGGCCCCTTGTTGCAACGCCCGCAGGGCCATAGTTGGTTGTTGCCCGTGAAGACCATGGTTGGCCTTTCCATGTTACGCGCTCCGAGAAACCCCGCTAGTGCACAACACTGCGCACCTAGGCCGTCGCTGAGCCAGATCATTTGTGGGGTCCGAGTATGTTCGATGGAGGTGGCAGTGCATTCCCATATGCCCTGTTAATCGCGTGGCATCTTGTATGCTGGTCCCATTTCCTCCCACTGACCGTGACCCGTCTCTACACTGTGAGTATGCTGTGCAGCATGCATAACACCCCGCCCACCATCTCTCCGTATCTGCAATGGAATTAGGGAGGAAGAGAAGTATTGTGTCGTCATGGTAGATGTTGTCGTTTACTGGCAGGGACGGGAAGGGCTGGTCGTTGCCAGGGAGGCATTTCCCCAGGGCATTTCCCTGCAATTCCGCTTCCCGTGCTTCTCGAAACTTTAGGGCCATTTTGTATATCCTACCATCTGGAGCAAAACGTCTGAATTTAGTGAGGCGTTTAACGTCCATGCTTATTGACTCTGCTATTCTTTCATCATCTGAACGGTGCTTTTCCTCTTCGCCTGTGCGCCGTTGGGCGCGCCAGCTATGCCCAACTGCCCTGGGGTGGGCCCCCCTCTGGGGCGGCAGCCTCATTGCTTGATGCTGACGCCGTCGGAGGTGCAGTGCAAGCTCTTGTCTGCGAGGTCTGTGCACTCCGAGATAACCTCGCCACTGCAACTACCCCTTCTGCCCTCAGCGGTGCCGCGCTCCGAGATAACCTCGCCACTGCAACCGCCCCTCCCGTCCTCAGTGGCGCTGGCGCTGAAGTTCCCGCTACACCATCCTCTCCAGCTCCGACAAGGGCGCTGCCGACTGGGACTTCTTGCCTCCCGCGCGTGCGATTAGCGCCTTTAGTGCCACCCTCGGGTCGCGGCCCGCGAGCCAGTCCAGCTTCGCCAAGGTTTCTTCCTCTATGTTCCTCGGAAGCACCGCCCTGAAATTTGGGGGCTCGACTCGTTGATGCCGATCTGGATCTTGCCTGAGCCCTCCTTCCAGAACTCCTTCTCGTCCTCGTTCGGATTCCTGTTCTTGTTGTTGCGCGCCTTGTAGCTTTCGCTGACCTTGCACATTTTGATCGTCTCTGTGATCATGGCCTGGCTGCGCTCGCTGTTGTCCTCCATCAGCTTCAGGAAGTCGTTCAGGGCGTCCTATGCCCGACCTATTGACGGTGGCATTGCGGTTGGATATGTTTTCCGCCAGCCCGACACCATTTCCTGGGTACCCTCCATGAGCGCCATCCCCGTGTGAATGCCTGGTGGTCCCACCCCTTGCCCGTCTCCCTGACCTGGTCCCCGCAGTTCTGCCCCACCGCCAACGACTTCCGAAAAGCCCAAGTGTTGACTGGCATGAGGTAGAAGTCCGATGTCATGTGGTTTATTCCTATCTATATATTTGTATAGGGCCGGGGACCCCGGACGGACCCCAGACGGAGCCCCCCCCCCCAACGAGTTTCGGCCTTCCCCGAGATTTTCGGGCGGTCCCAGAGGCGCCCCAGACGGCCTGAGATACTCCCAAGAGGGGTTCACGAGCGCTCCAAGACAGCCCAAGACCGCTCCAAGAGACCCCAAGACCGCCCAAGACCGTCCAAGGGGGTCCCGAGAGGCCCCAAGAGGCCTCCAAAAGGCTTCCCAAGAGGGCCCCAAGAAGGAAATGTCATTGATTGTTGTATGGTTTTCAAAGGTTTTGCTGGTTCTCCCTTTTTCGGGCCAACATCAGCCCGAACTGGCCCAAGAGGCTCCAAATATCGCCCCACTGGAAACTTGCGCTCTCACCTGATGCTGATGCTGCAGATGATCAGGAACAAGACCGGACTATATGGAAAGTGTGT